GCCTAGTCGTAGGTGCTTGCTGCAAGGAGCTCAACGCCGCGGATGGAGGGATCGGCGATTTCTCTAGAATACTCGATTATTTTGCCACACCTTTTCTTCGGGAGAGGGCAGGGCCGTGAGGCTGTGGAAGGGCGAAGGCGAGGCTTGATTCTTGACCCTGAAATCGTATATAGAGATATCTATAATCAATCTGTAAACCGAAATTACTGTTTACTGGCCACGCACGGCATTTTAACTCAAACTTTTGTAACCGAAAGCACAAATACGTACGTTACCGCGCATCAAGCGTGGTGATATTGTCTACAATCTACTATACAGTGCGGTTATGAAAATGTCAAAAAAAACACAAGACTAAAACTGAATTATTTGAATTTAGTTCAAAAAAGAAAAGGAAAATCTTAGCCCAAGCTTTGCGAGGTACAGGTATCCAAGCAGGCTGCAACCGAACAATGGGCCGACCCATGCGGTCCAACCGTCCAGTTTTTGGGCGCATACTGTCGAACCGGGCAAGGCCCACGAGTGGCCTAAACATTTTTTTAACTTTACGCTAAACGCCGTCTGATCGAGTTGATTAGCCCTTAGCGTAGCACAAAACTTAACCAAAAAATGAAAAAAAAAATTAATAGCGCCGTTGCCGGGGATCGAACCCGGGTCACCCGCGTGACAGGCGGGAATACTCACCACTATACTACAACGACCTCAGTGACTAAAAACAGTAGTTTACTACTCAAATTCAAAAAAGCTTACCATGTTTTTTTTAGAGGAAATAAAACTACTGTTTTTCTTTTTTTTTTTTTACCTTGTTTACCTTCGATCATAATAACAGGAATAATCATACCTTCATAGAAAATTGGCCTCGCTTGGCAATGCTTTTTCTGAAATGCTAACATTTTTAAATGTGATTATTGAGAATAAGTTTAGGTAGAATTGTTTTTTTTAAAAAAAAAACATGGTAACCATGTTGATGCTGTAATAAAGGGGAGATTCCCCTATACCTGCCATTGTGCCCGTTCAAATACAGAGTAGAATGACTGAATTTTTTTTTTAACAATTGCTTGTCTCATCATGTTTTAATATCTAACTATCAATTTGACTCTAATTTTTTAGTTTACATATTTGACCTTGCTTTTCAAAACTGAAGGTCAGAATTAACCATATTCGATGAATGCTAGAGAACAGTGTTAATTAAGGAGTAAATTGTCCTTTTACCCTTGCTCAATTAACCATATTATATCATAGCTTTTTTTATCCGGATCTTTTTGAAATAATTATAATGAATTTGGTATAGCTTTGACAGATTTAAAACAAGTTTAACAGATTTGTCTTCAAGTTGAAAAGTTTGATTCTATTTGACAGATTTTTTACATAAAATTGACAGCATATTGTCCAATAGCAAATTCAGATCCAAACCCAACAATAAATACATATCCAACAGCAAATTCATATCCAAACGCAAACAACAAAAGCATATACCAACAAATCCAACAGAAGAGAGCTCGGTCTAGTCGGCACAACCAGAAATGAGCAGTCGAATGAGCAACCAAGAGAGCTCGCCGTTCCCTTCTCCTTCCACACGGCGGCGCCACCCCTCCCTCCCTCCATTCGCATGCAGCAATTGCCGTCGTCCCTCACTTCTCACGCCTTACGCTTCTGCGCTCCTCCGTGCACCATAGCCACCACCGCTCCTTCCTCCCACCACATGCCGTGCCACCCCTCCATCTCTCCCTCTGCGTAGCAACAACCGCCGCCGCTCCACCTCCCTCTGCGTGTCGATGCCATCTCTCCCCTCCTTCCCTCCCTCCACATAGCAACAGCCATCGACATCCCTACCTTCGTGCGTCGGCGCCTCCGCCCCTCCTTCCTCTGCGTGCCGGCACCGCCGCCTCTCCCTCCCTCCCTGCGTAGAATCCACCGTCGCCGTCCCTCCCTTCACTTGCTGGTGCACGCTACTCCTTCGCGCGCATCAGTTGTCACTGCTCCTCCTCCCTCCATGCATCAGCCAGCCGTGCCGCTGAGATGTTGCATGAAGACTCTCGATTTGTAAGTGGCCTCATGGTCAAGCCAGAAAGGAAACACAAAGTCTATATCTTCCGTCCTCTCTATTACTCGCTTGGAATGTGGTTATTTATAATCATGGGTATTTTGGTCAGGTCATACTGGCATTTTTTTTTCTTTTTCCTAACTACAAATCTAACGATTTTGAAAAGCGAAATCAAATGAGCAAACTTGAAAAATTAGGGTCAATTTGATAGTTAGGCTTGAAAATAGGATAAATAAGCAATTGTCCCTTGTTTTTTTATGGTGCAATGCAGCAATGGGCGATGTCTAAACATGGCATTGCCTTAATTTTGTTTCATGATATCCCGTAGACAAGGAATTATGTTATCTGTATTCCATCTATATCAAGAACCTGTTGGGGAGCTTTTGACAGATACAACTTCTCCCATAAGTAAAAATTCTCTAAACAATCTAATTTTCATCCAAATTCTAAGAATATGTAGTTGTATAATTCAAAAATGAACTAGAAGTTTTCCCAACTTGTAAAGATTGTTCGAGCCATGGCTGATAAACATAAACAAAAATAAACAAAAAATAATGAGTAAAATGTTTATATATGGGTGTTTGTAGCAATTTAAAAGGAAATGCTAAAAAGTTAAACTTCAATGAAAAAACCAAATAAACTTTTTGAACTTTACTATTTTTAACTGCGGCAAATAAGTTAACGACCACCGCTTATGTTGCTCATATAATAGTTCCTGCACTACCGTAGGCAGGAGTCACAGTACAGCTCAGTTCAGGTGCTGCTGCATATGGAAGCAAGTATAATACTGTAGCCCACGGTTTCGTTTTCTTCAGAACAGGGAGAAGCTATGGGTGCAGTGCAGTGCCCACGGTTTGAAACCTAAAATTTGTATTCCCATGGAGATTAGAGAGGCACTGTCACAACGTGCCATGCTTCATTGCTTCCCCTTTGGTAACTAGCAACTTGACATCTTCTGACGCTGCCTGCCTCGTGTATCACCAGATAATTAACCGGCCCCCAAATCCTATTTAGGAGTAGTACATATCGTACTCACACTGCACCGTACGACAGTCTTGAACCCGTGAGCCGGCAGTGCATATGTTCATTTTTTTTTTGTTTTTTTACAAAGATTTTTCTTTTCATGTTCGCTGATTGTTTGTAGCATATTTGGAAGACATGTACAATATTCATTGAAAGATATGATATGTTGAATGACACGGACGTGGAAGTGCATTAGCGGATCAGATCATAGTTATAGAGAACCAGAATTTGGGAACCTTTGGTCAGCATTTCCCCTTTGGATGCTCTCTGTCCAAGAACATGAAATTGAAAAAGAAAAGAATCTTGCAGTACTAGAGCAGAAGTCCTCAAGGAAAAGGAGCAAGGGCAAGTGGACCCTGATTATTCCAAGATTGATCTTGAAGCTCTCGAGACATGTCTGGAGATATTTTCGCCTCTAGGAGCTATAGAATAATGAGAATCTTTGTAACCCCAAGAGCATCAACAAGGATGCTTTGATCATAACAACAAATCAGGCTTTAATTCCCGCAAAATTCCTTCATTCCAGGACTAAAATGATACAAGGGTATATATAGGTTCTGAGCGTATGGTATGAGATATTGCAATTTGATTTCAGAAAATAGAATAATGCACCTTTGCAAGTAGCATCTATTGTCATGTTACTGAAACAAGACAAACCATAAGCTGACAACAAAAACAAATTCTATTGCTAGGTTGAACTTGTGGGTATTAACCCACAGCATTGAGGGTAGCAGAAGGGGAAGTAGACCATGGTAGGTATAGAGGATTTGCAAAAATCCAATAAGAATTACTCGTGGAGTCAAATCTCAAAGGAACACAATCTATTTCCATTCATGATGAGCTTTCGCTTTCAAGGCTGTTTAACAATTTCCCCCATATTTTTTAAATAATGGAAAGCCATTTACATTTTCATCATGGAGTACGAGTTGCACAAAGAGAAGAAAAGAACATCGTCTTTCGCACGCTTCCCAAACTAAGTATTTTTCGAAAAAACTTTATGTAGAAAAGTTGTTTTTAAAAATCATATTAATCTATTTCTCAAGTTTAAAATAATTAATACTTAATTAATCACCCACTAATAGCTTACCTTGTTTTGCGTATATTCTCCTCTTCTCAAACACTCACCAATGTTTACTGCCATCCAATCAGAGAATATTTTCCATATCTTAGTTTCATGTTAATCGCCTTGTTGTTAACTGGGTTGTTTTGAAATAAACTTTGAAGGAGATACATCGTGTTGTGCATCCAAGTAAAAATTTCTGGACATCACATATGTGCATGTCAGGCAAGAAACTATTTTAGCAAGAGACAACCAGGCATGGAACCAGGTTTACATACTAGAGAACTATTTTTGTTATGCAAGAAGACAGAAGGCATGCGTATGCAAAGGACATCTCACATGTGATGCAAGCTATAAACCACCAGTGGCGCGAATCACGTTGGACAGGCCATGGTCCAAGATCCAGAAAGCCAGGGGAGCCATCTTAAGAATCGGACAAAAACACCAAAGAAATGGCTGTATTTTGTACAGCAACGCAAAGCTGGTCAGGGCACAAAACAAGTGGTGCAGGAAAAAGAATATAAAAGTTTCTTTGCAATGGTAGATATGTAGATCAGGTTGTTATCATGATTTTCTTTTTCTCAGGGAAGCCCCATAACAGTAACTGCAAATAAAGACAGATGGAAGATTAACAGAACCAAATGATCACAAAATCTAATTGGGAGCCAGTAACTTTTGAAGGTTAGTGTAGGTTAATCAAATGAAAGGTTTCAAATCTGATAGCTTGACTCATTCAAACAATCAACGACCCTTGAGAACTTGAAGCAACAGGGACAAGTACTATGTGACATACTATCCAATATTTGAGCCAGCAATTTCAGAGACATGCATTGGCAAATTAAAGATTTCAACGCTTCTGACGATGAAAATTAGATGTTGGAGCATGTAGTGCATAAATATGCACTAGAATGATTTAATATTAATAATCATTCCAATAGATAGGAGGTTCCCGATTAGCAAATCCAATCAGCTCTAGCAATAGAAAAAAAAATACAGGAGTACCAGAAAACATTACCAACCATTTATTAAGCTTACAATTTCATCAACTTCAACCATCCACAATCTGGGCATGCAAGCAAAATGAAATGGATTTTACTGAAGCCACAAGTTCATAATATAATGCAAGTACTATAGATATAGTTACCGTGATAATGCGAAGAATCGGACAATCTAATACATGAAGAACAGGTAGACAATTGAAGCATAAACCCACTCTTCAGCTGCAAAGACAAGACACTTGCCAACACGAAAAATCCGATCCAACTCCAACGGGTAAAGGTAAAAAGATCAATCTCCCTACACAATTAAGAAGCATTGAGGTGATTGCATGCACACAAGCAGTTGCCTCAGGCTCCAATTCATCCATGAGTGTTCACAGCTTCCCAAACCAAATTCTTTGGCGCAGCACCACTAGTGGCTTTCCTGGCCTGCAATGCAGCAGCCCTCAATGTCTTCCATGTCAACACATTAGCCTGCCAGAACGAGGCGGCGGCATAAGGCAGCCCATGCTTCTTGCAAAGGTCACGAACAAATGGCGAAACCTTCCTAAGGTGGCACCGCGGGAGGCGAGGAAACAGATGGTGCTCGATTTGGAACTGCAGGCCACCGTGGAACCAATCCATCCATGGCGAGCACTGAATGTCGAGCGTGCCCGCCGTCTGCTTCTCGAACCAGTCATTCCCCTTTGGCGGCCCGACATACACCTCCGAGGAGAAGTGGTTCAGGCAGAACTGAACATGCTGAATCCCGGTAATCACGAAGCTCGCGACCACGAACGCCACCCTCTCCCACCAATTGGGCAAGCAGGACACCACCATTGGGTACCAAACCCAGAACGCGGCGACGCCCGCGATCTCCAGCCCCCTCTGTGGCACCTTCCTGCTCGACAGCAAGAAGACGGCCGACTGAATAAGGAGGTTTATCCTGGCGAAGCACATGACCGGGTAGAATGTCCAGTGCTGGTAGCTGATCAAGAACTTGGACGCGGCGTCGAACACCAGGGTGCGCTGGTAGAAGTAGGACCAGAGGCCGAACAGCTTGGAGGAGACGGCGAAGAGCGGCATGTGCTGGAGGTCCGGGTCGTGGTCGAGGCTGTTGCAGGCAATGTGGTGGGTGTTGTGGTTGCACTTCCACCACGCGATGCTGAGGCCGGTGAGGCAGTTGCCGGAGAGCACCTGGAGGAGGCGGTCGAGCGCGGCGTGCCCCGTGATCCGGTGGTGCCCCGAGTCGTGCCCCATCCACCCGGACTGGATCCAGATGAACCCGATGAGCCCGCCGGCGAGGAGGTGCGCCCACGCGCTCGCGCAGGCGAGGACGCAGTAGAGCGCGGCGCAGAGGAGGAGCAGCATCCCGGCGACCTGCACCTTCGGGGTGGGCCCCACCCGCTCGAACAGCCCCGCGGAGGAGAGCTGCGCGAGGAGGCGGCGGAAGTCGGCGGACGCCGGCGAGACCGTGTAGTCCTCGAGCCGGCCCACGAGGAACCTCCCCAGGAGCGGGCGCGCCGACGGCGGGTGGTAGGCGGCGAACGCGTCGGTGGCGTCCTGCCCCGCCAGCGTCAGGAGCGGGATGTCGCCGCCCGGGTGGTGGGGCACCCACGCCGTGACGTCGTACACGTCCCCGGAGATGGAGATCCACAGGTCGTCCCTCGACGCGTGCGCGCGGAGCTCCTCCGAGGAGATCATGCGGACGCCGGCGCCGGCGCGGCTCTGCGCCTCCTTGGGGGAGGCCGGCATTGTGGCCGTCGGGATCGCCGGAGGCATGGTCGGCGGCGGCGGCGGCGGCGGCGGGATTCGGAGATGGGGGAACGTGAGGAGGAGGAGGAGTAGGAGGGGAGGAGATCGGATCTTAAAGAGGAGGGTGGTGCCTCGCTGGTTTCTCGCCTTCGTTGAGAGGGGAGGTGGTTCGGTTTTTTTCTTTTCTTTTCTTTTTCTTTTTCTTTTTTTTTTGTTTGGGTTGGTGGGTTTAATAAAGTTTTTTTTCTCTCTTATCTTTTATTACTCTCCAAAAGTTTAGGAGAGAGAGACCATACGGAGTTGTGCTATGACAGGCTGACACTGACAGCAGGGTTAACGTACTACTCCCTCCGTCCCAAAAAAAAAGACAAACTCTAATTTCCGTGCCCAACGTTTGACCGTCCGTCTTATTTAAAAAAATTATGAAAAAAATTAAAAAGACAAGTCACGTATAAAATATTAATCATGTTTTATCATCTAGCAACAATGAAAATACGAATTATAAAAAAATTTATATAAGACAGACATTTAAAGTTGGACACAGAAACTCATGGTTTATCTTTTTTTTTTGAAACGGAGGGAGTACGGATTAGCAGTAATAAAGTGACTAAAGCAAACTGCTTGTTGTGAGTACTGTGCTTATTTGTTTAGGATCGGTTTAATATTTGAATCGTAGTTTGAAATCGATTGTAGTTCGTTTCTAGAAATAAGAGTTGGATGACTATACAAGGTATATTATCGTTTATTACTATCCGACTTATATTTCCCTGTTTTTTTTCCCCAGCACAGCACTGTTTGTTTATCTTGTTTGGTTATCTATGCCAATATACATTGTAATCGAAATATTGCCCTATACGAACACAGCACGGATCCGTTCAGAACGTTAGGTGTTTTTGTTTAGTTAAATTTCTTCCGGTTTGATTAAGTTTATAAAAGAATATTTTTAATACGAAATAAAAGTATCATAGAAACATCCATAATCGATGATGGACTTAACGAAATTAATTTGGTGTTGTACATATTTCTATTTTTTTATATAAACTTGGTTAGACATAGGGAAGTTTAACTTACAACAAAACCAAAACACCATTATTATATAAAAGGAAGTAGTTTACATTTTTTCAAGAGTAGATTATATTTGATATATGACTCTTGCTTCACAGTTTTTTATAAATACAATTGTACTGCGTATACATTTAGCGAGTAATCTAGGATATGTTATAATATGATTCTAATTTGATCAAAGTGACACATATGCTATTTTTGTATAAACGTGGTAATTTCAATGTTCTTAGAGCAAATGTAATTTTATGAAAATGACAATGGATTTATGCATGGAGCTTTTAGATGCTAAAATGAATGTTATGTATCTTTTAGAAAAACAAAATAGCAGACTCAAAGAATGTAATGATTAAATTAATTTTAGAAAAAAAAAACAACTATGCTCCAATTATGTTTTCTTTATAACACATCTCAGGTCTTTTTTTTCGCGAAAACACAGATTGGTTTCAATCTTTCTACCTTGAGAGATATTGTGGTACTTATTCTTGCGTTTTGTTTTTGGCAGAATAAATGAAGAATGGTATACTCTGCATGTCCAGATAAACAAGAAAGTGATGTGCGTGGGATGTAGCGGTGTAGCTAGGGGGCAAAATATCTAACGTACTGATTTTGATGCTCAAGAATATATCCTTTTGGATCATTTAATAAAAATCCTTAGGGTGAGGAATACATATATTTTTATTTTCTCAAGGACATTCAATAAAAATGGAGAATGAGACAACGAGAACTCGCACGCACGATGCCTGATAAGGCAAGAAAACCATTATCTTTAACATACAACAATTCTCGTCAACTCGATCTCGTGGTGTTTTTTTCTCTTTAACTTCATTTCACATAAAGGCTTAATTTCCTTCTCTTTTAGAGGATTTTCAATGAAATTTTTATCCTATAATTCAAACGAGCCCTCCTAAAAAAGAGGTACATTGAAAGTCAGTTTTGCTCAAATGTGCATGTTAACCTATTTTGAGTTTACTACAACCAATTCAGCTCGTTGTGTTAGAGCGAGTACAATAACAAGTTACAAGTCAGCTGTACGACACGTGGAGGAGATTAGAGAAGAGAGAGGAGAGCGGACTACAGATTTGTAGTCAGCTATAACACAGGCTCCAATACGTTATGTGTGTATGAGATGTGAGACTATATATTAACGGTGTAGTATATGATTATAAGTAACTATTGTATGAATAAGCTATTAGATTGGCTGCAGAAGTTGGCTATACTATTAAACTTGCATAGTACAATATCATCTTCAATTCATAGGAGTGAGTGTCTGTGTTTTACTATGTAATCCTAAAAAACAGAATCATCCTTCTAACTTACTTTTCTGCCTTAAATTCAGAGGGAAAATGACGATGCTGACGTGTAACCAGCATCTTAACGGCATCTCTTTTGGGCAAACCCAGCGTGATGCCTTTCATCATCTCTTCTTCCTAACTCTCTCTCTCTCCCCTCGCGATACACATGCATACGCATGGTCCACAGTTGTACACGTGATGCCCATCACTTATCAGCAAAACACAGCGATCGTTCAGTGAGGCCGTGCCTGTAGATGGCTTCTCATGTGGTTCGCAAAATCACAATTGGCACGTTTGCCCGCAGAAACGTCGTCACTTGCGTCGACGCGTACGTGGTGCATGCCCATACATTCGTACTGCGGCTTTGTCAAGGGGAAACTGTGTGCAGAACGTGCAAGAGATTTGCAATGCAACCAGTGGAGTAGAAACTGCCGTGAACTAGTGATGTTATTTTAGGGGAACACGCTACCTAGGTGGCAGATAACTCTAAAACATGTACTCCCTCCATCCTATAATATAAAACGTGCACACATTCGAAGATTCAACATTTAAAACATTTGACCAACCTTAGTATAATATGAAATAAATTTTATTTGTTAAAAAATATATCATTAGATTGAGATTTAAATTTATTTTCATATGATTATAATTTTGATGCTATAAAATTTATAGTATATGAGAAAATATAAGCTAAAGATTAGTTTTGAAGACCGTGCCAACTTTGACCGCGCCTTATATTATGGGATAGAGGGAGTAAGGGTATTCACAATGCGTCAATGTGGTGTAACCCTAACCAGCCAGCGAGGAGAATCCCCTCCACACGAGCGACATTCATGCTCCCATGCATGGAACTCCTTATGTCCACTCTCCAACCTATCCCATCCTATGAAGATGCATGACTCCCATTAGGCTTTGTTAGGGTGGGGTCACGTCACACACGCGTGGAACAATGGGTCAAAGCTGCGATGAGGAGGTCGTGCCCCTGCGACGTGGTGTGGTCCCCATACCCCATGCCCACACCCACACCCTAGTGTCTCCTCAAACTCTGATGGCCAGAGAACAAGAGCAGAGAGGAAAGAAGAGCGACCTACCTTTCCAACGTCGACATCACCGTTAGGGTAGACAGAGAAGACATCGACGATGACCTCGACCACTCCACATCTAAAGCCCCTAGGAGCTCTCCTTCTCGTTGCCCCCTTAATCCAGCTCACTGAGCTTGTCAACAAGCCACCAAGTCCACCATCACTGCCCATCACCATCGAGCTCAATCTCGATTTGACGCTCATCACCTCAATGCCATTATATCTATTGGTGCAAACATGGCGAGAAAGGCATCCAGAGCGACGAGAGGAAAATAATCGAGGATAGGGAAGGGAAGGAGAAAAAAGATAGGAGAGAAGTTGATATGTAGATTCGGTAGAAGAGTTAAGGATATTTTATATCCTTTTTATTGTTGTATGCTGTAAACTATAAAAGTTTTAATTAGTTTAATAATAGAAATTATTATAGGGGCTGATATAGAAATAATTAGGGACTGAAAAAAGGGGAAAAGGTCTATTTTACACCCTCGACCTCTTATGCTTGTCTAATACACCATCGAACCACAAAACCGGGTATAATACACCCTCGAACTGTCGATACCGGACACTTAATCCCCCCCAACCCCCACAGGTGTTTTTACGGTGGTTTTTTTGACACGTTGGATGCCACGTCAACCCATAAGAATATATGGGCCAAGCCCTTTTTCTCTCTCCATGCCCTGTTCATGCTTATCACCCTCACGAGCATTGGCGGCGGCGGTGACGTGAAGTTGCGAGGGCAGCGATGTTGCCAGGGTTGCGGAGGCTTGCTATGGACAACGGTGTGGGAAAGAAGCATCTCTGACAGGTTGCGCGCGGTCGCCGGCGGAAGCTCTAGGTGTCGTCGCCGCACGCGCCTGTAGAGATGGCTCAACAGGGAAGAAACAGCTTGATGCGGGGGGGGGGGGGGGAGCAACGACGAGCTTGAGCTTGTGGAGTGTTCAGCCGACAGAACAAGCAGATGGAGGAGCACGAGCAGCTCTAGAAATGGCGCCAGATCCAATCTAGACAGAAGCAATCCACTTCCGATTCAATACAGAGAGGGTCCATTTGATTATTCTCCAGCTACTCTATGCGAGTGTCGTAGGAAGGCAGCAAGATGAATTTCTTGGAATGTGGATAATCCATCTCGGAAGCATCTGACATAAGTGAGAGCTCGGGTGAGTTGGTAAAATATTAGTGTAATACATTTGTTGTTTAAATAGAAGTAATATTGTGCAAAAGTTTCTTATGTATTGAGCAGGATGGTGACGGCTCTTTCTGGAGTTGGTATGAGCTGGAAACAACACCTTATTTAAGGCAGGTGTTAAATAATTTGCACAATGAAAGAGAAGTCAGGGATGAGAGCATATATTGTGAGTGCGAGAGCACAAATCGATGAGCTAACGGCTGCGTGCAATGGAGATGTGGCTGATTGGACAAGAAAACTAAAGGAGAAAGATGATTCAGCTTGTAAACTTAAAGCTAGAGCTATTGAATTAGAGGAGGGAAGGAAATTTCAGCTTGTAAACCCTCAAAGCTGCTGCCGCCGCCAACGCTCGTGTGGGAGAGAAGCACTAACAGGCTCATATAATCTTGTGGATTGACGTGGCATCCGACGTGTCAAAAATCACGATAATAACAGCCGGGTGAGGGGGGGTGTTAAGTGTTCAGTATTGATAGTTCGAGAGTTTATTATATCCGGTTTTGTAGTTTGAGGGTGTACTTAGACTACGAGTTCAAGAGCGTAAAATGGACTTTTCCCAAACCAAAAAAAGTACGCCTCTATCGTGGGTCAGGGTACACAAAAGCATCGTACACTGAATGGCCTAATGCACTTATATATGGATCTCACGAGTTTGAGGGCCATTTTGATTTGAAGTCAATTATGCTACCAAAATATAGTTGCCACTTTAAATAACACTTAACTAGTGTTTGGTTTGTACCAAAACATGCCAACATCACATATAAGTTGCCAAAAGGTTCGCAATACCAAAACATGACTAGGTTTCGGCATGAGAGCAAACCAAAACCAACCAAAGAGAGCAACATAATGTCAACATTGCTAGAAAACCAAAATAACAGATAACCTGGTGTGTTGAAATTATAATGTGAGCACCAAAATATATAGTAACAGCATTATGCCAGTAACTCCAATTAGTATCTTAAAGGGTTTCAGGCAACACAGTAACCACTCAAGCATTCTTATTTCGTGTTGGGGTATTCTAGCTAGAGAACAAGGTGCTAACCTAGCAGAAAACATTAGTTGCCAGCCTGAGAGCTGGCAACTTGGCAAGTGAACAGATGTACAATACTAGCTGATTGTCTTGACAGAACTATCACATGGTTCATAGAAATGTCTTCACCAACACCAGACAGGCCTGAAAAAATTCAATCGCACACCAAATTAGATATCATATATGCCATTCGCTGTTTTTTCTAGTGTAAATTTGTTTACAGTAAATTTTGATTGGTTAACTAAATTATCTTTGTACTATATATAATATGATCTGTAGCATTTAAGAGAATTGAACAACAAAAATAGGATTTCTGGAGCATCCTATGTAAGGAACGTGTCAGGAAATAAGAATTAAATATTGAGTGAACTGCACCGGCGGTCCCTAAACTTGTGCAGGTGTGTCACTTAGGTCCCTAAATTCTCAAAATGTATTTTTGGGTCCCTCAACTTGTCTCGGGTGTCATATAGGTCCAAACGAGCTCTAACCTGTTTCGTGGGATGATGTAGCATGCCACGGTGACGCTTACGTGTCAGTGAGATACACATGTCAGTCACATAGAAAAAAAATAAAATTTAAAAAGAGAGGAGAGAGAGAGAGAGGAGAAAAGGAAGTTTTTAATTTTGAAAATAAATGAAAAAAGAGAGGAGAAAAAATATGTTCTTAATATTTTTTATATGATATATGGGTTGTACTGACACGTAGGCGCCACCATGGCATGCCACATCAACACACACAAAGGGTTGGAACCTGTTTGGATCTATATGACACCCGAGACAAGTTGAGGGACCCAAAAATGCATTTTGAGAGTTCATGGACCTAGGTGACACACCCGCACAAGTTTATGAACTGCCCGTGCACTTTGCTCTTAAATATTTATCTGGGCCTTTAAAAGATCATGAATTAAACTGCAAAAAAAATCGAATGACTTCAACAAACCCAGTGAAAAATCAGTTGACAGGTAGATACATAATATGAACAACACTGATGGAGAATGACATTTAAAAATAGCCACACAGAAGAGGAAGGCCTAACAAACAGACAGGTTTCAAGAAAAGGACTGATTGGGAGAAGAATTCAAAACATGATGTAGTAAGACAAGCAACCACATAATTCAAAATTTGCCACTGTAAAACCAAAGGCAATATTATGAACAAAATTTGCCTGTCTGCTCTGTTTGAGAAGTGTTTCAAACAAGATTAGGAAGTTCTATGTAACTACTATTATGCAACGCAATAGCACTAGAAAATAGAAACTAAATGTTGCCATGGAACACAGAAAGTCTTGGTAGAGAATACAGTCATAGATGTTCGGAAGCAAAACCACAGAGCAAGAGAATGAAGTTAAAAAATTTCAAACAGGAGACACAACAGGGAGTAGTAGATGGAGGACAAAGTGACTTTGCTTACTCCAACATAGAAATGGTAAAATTTGCAAAGTATTAAGTCAGTAGGGAACCGAGAGCTTGAGCCCCTCCATATTATTAATTTATTATCAGTTCACCATGCAGTATCAATCAGCACCAATCAACAGCGAGATATTGTCTTTTGGTAAGGTTTACATGCAGTCCAAGCAAATAAAGCACGCTCTCAAATTTCAGCAATTGATGACAAACTATTAGAGATATTATCTTTTGGTAAGGTTTAAATTCAGTCTAAGCAAATAAAGCATGCTCTCAAATTTTCAGCAAGTGATGACAAACTATTGACAAACAAAAAATCTCAGTAGTACTTAAGAAAAATGAAATCCTGTGACCAATATTCAATATTGAGCTGGAACCTACAGTCCAGCTAGGTGGAACATGTGTCCTAGAGCCAGAACTAACTCTATAGTTGTAGTCTTGTAGATTTATGCACACCTAAAAAAAGAAAAGAAAAGAAGAGCGAACTGCAAAGCCAACAAAACTCAACAAATTTATGGAAGACAGAGCTTATAACCACTGCTCTAAACGCATTGCTGCATAACATTGGGACGCTAACTTTGTCTTGTGCTGCAGTTTGTTTTTCATTTTAAGAAATGAGATATAGTAGCGGACCCTCATTGATTAGCTTGTGCAAGTAAGAACTGATAGCCTGAGATTTGATAGGTGACTAGAAACATCAATGACAACCCAAACACCCAACAGTCATATTGACTTATTGTCATGTAGCCAAGTTTAACCATGTGACAATTATTGGTAATACAATCCACGAAACTTTGGCATGTCAAAGGATGAAAAGCATGCTCTGAAATTCCAGCAATTCATCTGGAACAATTGTCAAACAAAAAGACGTGAAACAACAATAAGATGAAATCCTGCTAACAAAGGTAAACTTGGCGACTTTCTTGTATTGATCCCTTGGAAGCAAGACATTTTTCCATTTTTTTAACAGCTGATACATTGATAAAAATGATTTATCTCTGCACAGTGGTGTTACTTTGTTCTGAATTTTACCTTTCCTTTTGGCATAGTGAGAAGATCTCCAAAGTAAATGAATGTACACTCAGAACTAATCACTGGGAAAACATTGCGTGGATTGTTATATGCTCAAAACGTGCCACAGGTAACCTATCAAATTCACAATGTGAAGATTCATGGGTGCAAGGTTACTCAAGCAACTTAATAGCAGCCATAGCAATTCCACATCTCCCTTATGAAATAATTATGAAATAAAACAGGATATATCACAAAGCAGCAGAGCCATGTACCTATCTATGTGTCCTTCCGTGCACTTCAAAAGCAGCCAGGGATTAGCTCTAAGTGAAAGCTGTCTCAGTGCTGCGCCCACTGGATACTCTTGAGGTCAATGCCTGCCTTGGCCATCTCATACAGTGGACTCATGTCACGAAGCTTCTTCACCTGATGCACGGTGAGCTCAATTGCTCTGTCAACCTCTTCCTCAGTGGTAAAGCGGCCAATGCCAAAGCGAATGGAGGTGTGCGCCATGTCCTCTTCTACACCAAGTGCCCGCAGCACATAAGAGGGCTCCAAGCTGGCACTAGTGCAGGCACTGCCACTCGACACAGCCACCTCCTTCAGGCCCATCAGCAAGCTCTCCCCCTCAACATATGCAAATGACAAATTCAGGTTACCAGGGTACCGATGCTCCATGCTTCCATTGATAACAATATCATCAACCTGTCCACGGATGCCATCAAGAAGGCGCTGCTGCAGAACCGAGGCTCTCCTGTGATCATAGTCCATCTCTTTAGCCGCAATTTCGCAGGCAGCACCAAATCCAACAACAAGAGGCGTTGGCACTGTTCCACTGCGAATTCCGCGTTCCTGGCCACCGCCACTCATCTGCGGCTCCACACGAATGCGGGGTCGACGACGCAGATAGAGAGCACCCACGCCCTTTGGCCCATAAATCTTGTGCGCAGACAAAGACATGAGCCCAATCCCCATTTGGTTGACATCAATCGGGATCTTCCCGAGCGCCTGGGCAGCATCAGTATGGAAGGGCACGCCCTTCTCCTTGCAGATTCGACCAATCTCCTCGAGTGGCTGCACGACGCCGATCTCGTTGTTGACGGCCATGACGGAGACGAGGCCGGTGTCGGGGCGGATGGCGTCGGCGAGCTGCGCGACGTCGACGAGGCCGTCGGGGCGCACGGGGAGGTAGGTGACCTCGAAGCCTTCCTGCTGGAGGTACCTGCAGGAGTCGAGGACGCACTTGTGCTCGGTCTGCGTGGTGACGACGTGGCGGCGGCGGTCGCGGTAGAAGCGCATGACGCCCTTGACGGCGATGTTGTTGCACTCGGTGGCGCCGGAGGTGAAGAAGATCTCCCTGGGGTCGGCGCCGACGAGGGAGGCGACGCGGGCGCGGGCCTCCTCGACGGCGGCGTCGGACTCCCAGCCGTAGAGGTGGGTGCGGGAGTGGGGGTTCCCGTAGCGGGAGAGGTAGAAGGGGAGCATGGCGTCGAGCACCCGCGGGTCGACGGGGGTGGTCGCCTGCATGTCCATGTACAGCGGCCGCCCCGAGATGCGCACGCCCTTGATGGTCATCGCCTCCTCCTCCGCCGCCGCCGCCGCCGCGGCGGGAGCATCGGCCGTCACGGCGGCCGTGGAGAGCGCGCGGGCGGGGGAGAGGGAGGGGGTGGACCCGCGGCGGAGGAGGAGCGGGAGGAGGCGGCGGGAGAGCGCCATGGGTGGAGGGGGGGAGAGGTAGGGTTCGGGGATTGGCGGTGGCGGCGGAGATCGAGCTCCCGTTTCGGCGGAGGGGTGATTTGGGGAGAAAAAAAAAAGGAGAGATAGGGAGGAGATGGGTTGAGGAGAGGATAGGCACCGCCGTGGCGGTGAGGTTGGCAACTGGGCCACGCAAGGCGACGCGTCTGACTCTGAGCCCGTCGCGGTCGCGGTCGAGGCGACACACCGGTTCGGCCCGTTGTTTGTTGTTGGGCCGTGGACTACTGGTGAGTCATAAGGTCATATCATATTAACATAGCCAATCCAAAATTTATTTCTCTTCTTTAAATTTTGCTTTTTTAAGAAAAGGCAACCTGCCAATTTTTATTAAATAGAGAAGGAGTAAACGGAGAGAGCTACAAATCGGACGTCCGACGTTGTAATAAAAATTGGACAGTCAAATATTTCGGTTGACTGTTGGTGCAACATTAAGTTATACATAGTGAAACAAAACAAAAAAGTCAGCCTATGAAACATATAGAACTTTTTGTGAAACATAATAAGAACACATGGTGAAACATATTTCTATCACATATGAAATTTTTATTGTCTGAAATATATGTTTTTCTTTCATCAAAATATAATCATGCAATATCTTGTTGTAAAGATTTAATTATAACGAATTTAACGGTGCGATCAAATCGTTCAACGAATAAGTAGTTTAAAAGAAAAAATAATTTTTAAGATCACTAAATACTTGCATCATGCGTGGTGTGTGGGAGAAAGCTAATAGAATAGCATGAGAGAGACTAGGGGCAATAGCGTCTCATATTTTTTCGGTCATTGGTGAAACATTGAGTTGCACATAGTGAAACAAAAAAATTAGTTATTGAAACATTTAATTTTTTTTATGAAACATAACAAAAACACACGTTGAAACATATTGCTACTGTGTCTGAAACATTAAATTTAACGGATTGAAACATATATTTTTCTTTCATCGGAATGCAATGATGTGATATCTTGTTGTAAAGATTTAATTGTAACAAATATAATGATGTGATCATATCATAAATTGGATAAATAGTTTAAAAGATAAAACATTTTGAAGACCATCATATGAATGTGTGGAGACATGGGGTACTATTAGTAGTTTGTTCATCCGATCTTTTTTTTCGTTGGACATCTGATCTCCTCAAGCATTTCGGGAGTGAACTGTACAAAGACGAAAACGAGCTCAAGACCTTTGATCCGAGCTAACTAAAAGAAAGCCAATTATGAAGATTTTTCACGCCCGCTAATGCCCAATTTTTGGCCTGTCACGTCCGGAAATTCACTAGTAATTTCCGAACTTATTTATGCATAAAACCCTCATCTAGGAATCAGCCGAGGTACACAAACTGACAATTTAATATACAAATCCATCATAATAATAACGTTACATACTTACAGAAGAAAAAAAAACAGCAGTGGAATTAACGGTCTAGCGATGGCTTCAGCTCCACTCCCACAGGCAGCTCAACTGGGGTATAAGCCAAACGTCTTCTCTTTCTGGATCCTTTTTCTTCAACTGAGGTTTGATGATTATTGCAAGATGAGCATATGACATACTCAACAAGCCACACAGCAAATATGCAAGTGCACAAGGATACCAAAGGATGGCATAATATAGGCTCATTTGCAAAAGCAGCATTTAGCAAAGATTTAAGAGTAAAACAGTAGAGTAATTAATTAGAAATTTTAATTAACACTGAACAGCACACCCGTGCTGCTCAGGCCCAACCATCCTGAACAACCATACCCGGCTGTACAGATCTAACTCCAAACCAGGAACTAAACAAATTATTACCAGTTATTGCATCAATAATTATTTGTGAGAGGTGTGAGACTAATCACGAAAAACATTTCTCAACCCGCCCATGACCGCGGGCACGGCCATTCGAATAGTTTTACTCTGGCCAGAGATGTACCACTGTACCCACAAGACACAATTCCACACATGTTGCCATGCCCCGAAGTACCACCACGGCACTACAAAGGGGGAAATTGTGACAATACCCTTCGCACAACACAACTCACCACAGTGCACCATTCCTGGATCATAATCACCCCCTCAAAAACCAGAGGCATGGACTCCCCAGCGACCCCACGGACTTCTCGCCGCTTCTTAGTCTGGCACCCCGCAATGAATCATGCTATACAAAAGGTAAAGCCGTTGCCCACGCTGGCTTGTGGTTGGCATGGTAATTGTTTCACAACAGTAGCTCGCGAACCGGTCCTTAATTATCATGAGCATGACCTTCAAAACCATGTGCTCACAACCCGCCATTGTCAAGTTTTAATTGTCAATTAATTATCATAACACAATTAACCATCGTGAGCTACCATTAAATATAACCATAAATAATAATGTAGTATGATTCATCCCATTAGTGAGCTAATGTTTCTAAGCATGGCTAAGCAATTATATATATATATATATATATAGCATTTAGCTGAACCAAACCAATATATAAGGTTCCAGCTAAGCAAATTATAACCCATAGGAAAATAAAGTCATCTTCGGCCATTAATTAATTGGGAAAGGCTCACCACCCGATGACATTCGAAAATAATGCATAAGTTGAAATAAAACATTATCTTTAAACGGGTTCAACATGCTCAAAGGGTTGTTTGGAATCTGTGTGACTTGCCTTGAGCTTCCACAAACGCTTCCAAACCTTCCTCAACGAAAACGTTCTCCTCCGGAACGTCGGAAACTAAAGCAAATGAACAAAATCAACAAAACAGTACAAAAACAAGCATAAATAGTACATGTGGATATTTTTAACATGTAGATCTCGATTTTAGATGAATTTAGCAACTTGAACCACTCGAATCCGAGTTATGATGATTTAGTTATGAATTTCCGAATTTTAATCGATTTTCATCTAATAGAGAAAACTAAGAAAAAGGGATTAATGACGTCATCGCTAACATCATCGCCGGCCATGGCACGACTTCACGCGACCACCGGCAAAAGAGGGCTCGGTTGGGCTATCTAAGGGCACCTACGCGTAGAGGACGACGACGCGAACTCACCGGTACAAGAAAACACGACGGACGACGACGGACGACGGCCGGCGGCGAGGTTCCAAGGCGGCACGGTTCGGGTTGACGGCGGCGATGGCGCTCCGGTGGTCTTCGGCGGCTGCGAAGGGGCGGCCGAGGTTCTTCTCCTCCGTGCGCACCCGACGGCGGCGACGGACGGCAGCGGCGACGATGCTAGCGGCGGCGCGACGCGACCGGAGGATCGCCGGCGACGGCGGCGGCTAGAGCAAGGCGGCGGCGGCTCTACGGGCGACGGCTCTACTTGGGACTTGGGGCAAACGGAAGAGGACATCAAGGGGATGCTTTATATAGGCTTGGACTAGAGAGATCGGACTCCAAACGAGAGGATTTGAACCGGAAAATCCTAGGGTTAGTTTGGAGAGATAAACTCGAAAACGAATCCAATTTCGCGTCGAATTCAAAGGGATAAAGTCGGATTTTTGGGGGAAGAGATAGAGGAGGATAAGAGGAATATTCCCCCTCAACTAATTTTGGTAAATACACGAGATAAAAGACCGGATTTGGAGGGGAAAACGGCGGCTGCACAGGTACAGGACGGCTGGCTCGGGCTCTGTCCAAGCTTGAAGACGACACTGTAGCAGGGAGGCGTACTAGACTTTCGGCTGGGCTTCTGCTACCAAGGGCTAATTAAGGGAGGGACACCAAGCAGACTTCGGGAAAGAGAGGGAAAAGACTGCAGGCTGAGAGAGAGATTGGGCCCAGCAAGTGAGAGGACTTTTCCTAATTCGGCCCGAAAAGGAAAAAGGGGACTTTAATTACTTTTCTAATTAAATTAATCACTGAAATGATCCTTGAATTGTTAAAAATACTTCTATTGCTCAAATAATTTCAAGAAAAATCCTGAAAATACTTGGACACTCAAAGTATTTAAAAATATTAAAACTAGACCATTTAATGATTAATTTAATATGTGGATAATTACTGAAATGTTGTTTGTATGATTAAAATTAGGAATTGAGCTCCGAAAAATCCAAGAAAATTCCAGAGAGTATAATTAACCATGGATAATTTAATAAAAATTAAATCCATCCATGCTTTATATTTAGGAAATTTTATTTCCCACATTTAACTTCTCTTGTAAATTAATGAACATTTAATATAAATTCTAATAATAATTTATTAACTAATTTATAAATCCTAAGACGAAAATCAGGATGTGACATGGCCTCTTCCTTGATTTTGGCCAGAAGGGAGGTGGTCAATAGCTCCTTTTGCTGAAAGGTTTTGCGGTTTCTCTCATTCCAGATCTCCCATGCGACCAACAGCGTCAGTGTGCGAAGAGCCTTCTTGGTACCTCTTGGATGTTTGAGGTAGCCTCCCACCATTTTAACACCGTGGAGGTTTGCTGCCACCGACATGGTTTCGATCCCTCACACGCCGTCCATTCCGCAATTGCCTCCCAAATTTTATTTGTGTATCTACATCACACAAAGAGTTGAAGGGCAGTTTCTTGAGATCGACGACATAAGGGACATATGGAACCGTTTGGCCATCCTCTAGTTGCTAGTCTATCGGAGGTCTATACTCTGTTTTGGATGATTAGCCATGCGAAGGTTTTGAATTTTTTCGGCGCCCAGGTCTTCCAAATTAGGTTATTAAAGTTGGTGGCAGTGGTGCTGAGGAGTTGCGTATTGTAGGCTAATGTTGCTGTGTATTCGCCATGGCTGGTAAGCTTCCATGTTATTTTGTCGACCTCTTGCTCTTCTAGTTGTAGCGTCTAAGTGACGGTCCAGATTGTGACAAGTTGATCAGTTAAGTCTATCGTCCATCCTGCATTTGACGGCAGGTCCAAATCATGAAGCCATTGGTCAGATTGCAAGGCCTGTTGGATCGTCCTGTTCTTTTTCTTGGATGCTGCATAGACTAGAGGAGCTACATTTTTCATTCTCCTTCCGTCCCACCAGGCCGAATTCCAGAAGCTTGTCTTCGCACCGTTTCCAATTGCTATGGAGGTGGCAGCCAAAAAAGGAGTTTGTCGGTGTCTTCTTTAAAATTTGATGAATAACCAAACGAAAAT